AGGAGGCAACCAATCAATGTGTTTCTCTCACATCAATATTTCTCTCTGTCTTTTCCTCTCTTCCACTCTCTCTAAAAAAAAAATCAATGGAAAAATATCCTCGGTTGAGGATTAAAAAAAAAATCTGGGGGCTTGCCTGGGGTGGGAATGGCTGGGGGTAGGGGGGGAAAAGAAGACAAATGTAAAACTTTAGACAATAAAAAAAAATCAATGAGAATGTCTGTTCCATCTGTTTTATCTCCCATTAAGCCAAGCAGTAGACTTTGCACATAGTAACTATCCTATCTAATAAAAGACAAAAAGGGTAATTGACCGTACCTTCGCTACGCTTCCCATTGGCTAATCAGGGTGATATGCAAATTAACTGCCAAGAAAGATGGTGGTTAATTTTTTTTCCGCCGTGCCGGCCTCCGCCACGCCCCCGGGGCCCGGGCCCTTCCCGGCGAAGAGCAAAGGTCTGGGTGCCAGCAGCCAGGGGAAGGGGCCCCCGAGGGGCCCCAGACTGCGAGAGGGCACAGGCCGGCTGAGGGACCCACCAGAGTACACAAATTTTGTGCACTGGGCCTCTAGTCCTATCTAATAATAGACAAACATGGTAATTGACCGTACCTTCGCTACACTACCCATTGGCTAATCAGCAAGATAGGCAAATTAACCGCCAACAAAGATGGCGGTTATTTTGCATACATAGACGTGAAGCGGCAGAGCGAAGACTGAAGGCGGCTCCGGCCGGAGCAGCGAAGGCTTGAAGGTGGCTCCGGCCGGAGCAAAGGCCTAGGTCCCAGGTGCCGGAGGAAAACCGGTGCCGGCAGCCAGGGGAAGAAAAGGCCTATTGCACGAATCTTTTAATGCAACAGGCCTCTAGTCTATATATATAAAAGCCTAAACAACCGTCTGACCAGTAGGTATGACACACAATGACCACCAGGGGGCAGACGCTCCAACCGGTAGCTATTATGTGCACTGACCACCAGGGGGCAGATGCTCAACACAGGAGCTGCCGAGCTGCAGTGACTTGGCAGCTGCGGTTCTCAGATGACGCACCCGGAACCAGAGAGGAAGGAGCCCGATTCCGAGGTGCGTCACCTGAGAACTGCCCTCTCGCAATCCACAACCCTTCTGGGACCCCTCAGAGGATGTCAGAGAGACATTTTCAGCCCGATCCCCGCAGGCCAGGCCGAGGGACCCCACCGGTGCACAGGTTTCCCTAGCTGCTTTTACGTTACAAATTATGTCAGAATAAACTTCTATATTTTTAAGGACAGAAATTTACTTTAAATTTAAAGTTGGAAAATAGAAGCCAAATAAATACTATTCAGATAACCAAAGTAGTCAGATGTGACCCTGATGGCAGATATATTACGAAATGTTTTCCACAACTTTTATCTTCCTTGTAAATTAAATTATCCCCATTGTTTAAAGGACCTTCAATTTTTTCTCTATCACCATATTTTAGCATTGCAATATTAACTCCTTTTCGATTCTCAATTCTCCCTGCTAAAATATGAAGCTAAGAAAAATAGATCTTGCTCTCTCTTCCTCTCTGATGAAAATGTTATTGCACGGTGTACTGGGCATGGTGATGGTGGCAGCAGGCAAGCAAAGCAGAGTTGATGTGGGAGTGGTGGTGCTGTATTTTATAAGCTGGGTTAAGTTGTCCTTTAATAATCAGTTTTCTCAAAAGTGCAGTGGGAATGGTACTCTCTACCTTGCCTATCTATAATGAACTTGTTAAGTGAACAAATATGATGATATATGTGGAAGCATTTGTGAGCACTTAAAAAAACTATACATACAAGACAGTCATCACTATAACACATAGGACTGTTCAAAACAATCTATTTGTCTTTACCTGGTAAATTTGTGTGGAAGGATTATTCATTGGCATATGTTCATTCTCTCCTGTAGGGAGAAAGAGCTTTGTTCAGTCAACGCTACTCATTCTGTCCCTGTCCTCTTTAGACACATGCAGAGAATAAGGGGACTTATAGGACCCTACGTCTGTGCCTGCAGGACAATGATTCAACAAGAACAAAGCATAAAATTGTATAGGTGACTTTATATTCACATCCTAATGACCAGACCAGACCTACCTGATAAAACTCCTGTAGTAGAAAACCATGTTGTACTGGAATGGGGATGTTTCTCAACCAAACTGGAATGATTAACAATCATTAATTACCAGAAGTGATTGCCCATGAAGGGTCTCACTTGTGTTCTTGGTGCTGACTGCAATTTAACTGAGGGGTTAGTTCTGTAGTCAGGAAGACTGCTGGTCACCAGGCACCTGTCCAGTTGTCTCTCTATTGTTCTTGGGAGGCCTGTATAAAATATCCTGACTTTTCCTGCCTTTGATCCTTGCAAAACTTCTGAACTCTGCTTTTCTGTCACTGTCCAGATCAGTTAAGTGAACTTTGCTCTCCTCCTAGGCAAGAGGATTGATAGACGGGAATTGTCGATGGAAAAGGTCTGGGAAGGATGGAGGCAGAAAGAAAATAGTCTTGGCAACACTAGAGACTGAAACACAAAGGATGTAAGTAGGTTATAAAAACCATTTAAAACCTAGGGAGAAAAAATATTGGCCTAGAATACACCTTTCAGAATCACACTGGTTGGCCGTGAAGATGAGGCAATCCATGTGAAACATGCAGCTCCTTGCTCAACCATTTAACTACATCTCCATCGTGTCACATTGTATGAATCAAGCAGTTTATACATGCAACCTCTGGTTGCAAACATTTGGTTATGTGAATGTGTATACTCTTCTCCTAAGACATGCTGGTACAAGAAATCCGTCTTAGAGGAACAGCCATAGTATGTAAGTTCATAAGTAATACATAGCCTCAGCCCAGAACATAATGCACACAGAGGGCTGTCCCTATAAAATCCAGATGGTTTGAGATTACCCAAACGCCCAAAATATGCCCAAGTAAAGATTCCTTAGCCCATTTTATGTCCCAACAGCCTAGTATCATGGCAAGAACCAGAACTTGGGAACAGACCAGTTTCCCAGATTGAACTTTGACATTTTGTGATTGTAGCCTGAATTCTATATGACTGTTTTCTCATTTGATAACAGAACCTACTTCTATAATGTTGATTCTGTGTGGTAAGATTAAAAGAGAAAGCCTTACATTTTTAGGCTAGCATAGGAGGTGTTAGATGTCTATTAGTTGAATGTGTACCTTGGCCTTATTGAGCAGGTTATTCTGAGGCAGTTCTAAATTTATTGCTAAGAAAAATTAGATAACCGCTCAGACAAAAGTATATAAATAGCATTTTCTGTTTCTCCAGCACCAAGTCTATGCTCTTTGTGGTCATTATGATAAGAAAAAGAGAATAGTAAAATGAACATACTATCATGTTTTGAGAAAACAGAAAGACAATACTACAACTCATATTTCTTAAATCCCGAGCCCTAAAGCAAGACATATGAAATATCTAACCTTGCTTTGTTTTGGTTTTTTCCATGGTGCCTGTTGCTTCTCTCCTCCAACTTATTCTTCAGCATTGCATCTTCACTGTCCCTGGATCAAGCCATCCCTTCTTCCCTGGACCTGTCATTTGAAATCAAGAGAGATAGCAGGTAGAACTGGTGAGGTAATTGGACTTAATTCATGTGTTAACTTGAAATGAACACAACTATTAGAAGCAACTTGAGGTGAGGTTTATGCAATTTCAGAAGAGTGAAAATATTTAGCATAAAACTTAAAGGTAAATCTTTTGTGACTAAGTATGAAATTCATTAGTTAATATTATACTACTTTTTAATATGGTGCATTCTTTTTTGGATAAAATCAATTAATTTAGACCCATTGATTTTATTAGGAGGTTATAGTTTGGGGAAATTATCTAAAGAAGAAAAACCTTGAGCAAGTATGAAGGCCAAAACATCTGTTTCTATTTCATTAAACAGTAACTTCCTTGGTGACCTGATCCACACATTCAACATCTTGTAGGCTCCTTTACGTCCAGATGCTTCTCAAATGTGGCCTGTTTGTAGTGACCACCAGACATGAAGCTGCAAGTTCATGGGGTTTGATCAGATGCCTCCCACTATAGAGGCTGAAAGTGCCAGGTTTTTCCAGCCTGCCTTGCAGCTAAGGCGTGATGGACACATGACCTAGGACAGTGATGGCGAACCTTTTGAGCTCGGCGTGTCAGCATTTTGAAAAACCCTAACTTAACTCTGGTGCCGTGTCACATATAGAAATTTTTTGATATTTGCAACCATAATAAAACAAAGATGTATATTTTTGATATTTATTTTATATATTTAAATGCCATTTAACAAAGAAAAATCAACCAAAAAAATGAGTTCGTGTGTCACCTCTGACACGCGTGTCATAGGTTCGCCATCACTGACCTAGGATATGTCACTCCAATTGACAGACAGTTGCAGGATTTCCTAAGGCACATATACTTGATATACTTTTTACTTTCTAAAAAATACAAAAAGTTGCTAATACAGTTTAGGTGACTCAAACTGCTGCTTTTGGTGGTTTCCTCACTAGAACAACTGTACTATATGATTTGGGGCATCGTTGCCTGCCACATAATCCCAAACTTGGTTCACCAGTCTCCCAGCCATTTTAAATATCCTTTCAACAAATTCCCTTGCTGCTAAAATCAGCCAGAGTTGTTTTCTGTTGCTTGCAACTAAGAAACCAGATTTAAACCATCAAAATATAAAGGGTGTCCCAAAATTCACACAAGAAGTAATTTTGATAGAAAACACAGGTTTATAATTAAAAATTGTAAATTTTTTATTGATTCATAAAGTATACAGTATAGGGTTATG